TAACAAAGCAATTGACAACGTTGTATCGAATGCCTACGAAGAAAAATGAGAAGAAGAAGACTCTGAAATTGTATTTACAGTAACTATGAAAGTTTTAATTTCGTCTACAATCTCGTCTGTTGTTATTTCGGTACCACTAGAAGACAAATCAAGCAAATAATCCAGCAGAACTGGAGACTCAGATCGGTCGCTTTTTTCCTTGTTTTTGATAGCTTCTGCTACAAACAGGTTGCGCTTCGTTAGAAGTACCTGTGTTTCTTTGTGCAACCTCGTACATTTATAAATGAAGTCGTGGTGGTACCAAAAGTTATACAGTCGATGGAGCATCGTTTCCAGGATCCTGTGGGAGTGTCTAAATAGATGAATTTAAAACGCGGTAAGCGCTTCCATACCGGTACTACAATCATTTCCTTTAGTACTCGAAAAAGAAATTGATTTCATACTGGGAGCTGTGATAAGTCCATTTCCCAAAAAATCGCGAGCAAGTTTTCTGTATAAGTGGATTCTGGAATTGTTGTTTGGACTTGTTAGTACTTTCTCCAAGTATTCAGGTTTGGTAATACCGAAGACCAGAATTGGACCAATTACTTTCCAATTATTCAATTTTTTGTTTTCTGGATTCCGATTTTGCAGTTTTTCAGTTTTCGCATTTCTTGACTTCCTTTTTTGATTTTTCGATTTTTTTGTTTTTAGAATTTTCAATTTTTCAATTTTTCGATTTTTCAATTTTTCGATTTCTGGCTGTCTCAATGTTTCGATTTTTTTGAATTTTTCTTGGTTTTTAACTTTTCATTTTTAGACTTTTTTTAATTATTCGATTTTCGACTTTTCGATGAAAATTTTTTGATGTTTCGATTTTTCGATTGCTCCAATTTTCGATTTTTCGATTTTCCAATTTTTAGATTTTGCGATTTTTTCATTGTCCTGTTTCTTCGTTTTTAGGTTTTTCGAAATTTCGAATTTTCGCTTGTTTATTTTTACAATTATTCAAATTTTCTACTGATTTTTCAATCTTTGGGTTTTTCAATTATTCAATTTACCGCGTTTCTTGAATTTTCGATTTTTCAGTTATTTCTCTTTTTGATTTTTCGATTTTTTTGTTTTTAGATTTTTCGATTTTTCTTTTTTCGATTTCTCTATTTGTCGATTTTTCTATTTTTCAATTTTTGCATTTCCTAATTTCTCGAATTTTCAATTTTTCGATTCTTTAATGTTTAAATTTTTGGCTTCCTCGATTTTTCGACTTTTCCGATTTCCCGATTTTTCGACGAAAACTTTTCATGTTTGGATTTTTCGATTTCTCGATTGCCCGAATTCTCGATTTGTCGATTTTTCAGTTTTTCGATGTATTGGATTTTAAGGTTTGTACATTTTTTGATTTTTCTATATTTCAATTTTTCAATTTCTCAATTTTTCAATTTTTCGATTGCAAAATTTCTTGAATTTTCGATTTTTCGGTTTTTGGACTTTTGAATTTCTGGATTTCCTTACTTTCCAATTATTTAATTTTTTGTTTTCTGGATTCCGATTTTGCTATTTTTCGGTATTCGCATTTCTTGACTTCTTTTTTGATTTTTCGATTTTTTTGTTTTTAGAATTTCCAATTTTTCAATTTTTCGATTTTTCAAATTTGCGATTTCTGGCTGTCTCAATGTTTCGATTTTTTTGTTTCCCGAATTTTCAATTTTTTTAATTCCTCGATTTTTCAGTTGTTCTATTTCTGGATTTTCGATTTTCGAGTTTTTCGATTTTTTGATTTTTGAATAATTCGATTTTTCAATTTCTCGATTTTTCAATTTTTCGTTAATTTTTTTGACTATTTGATTTCTCGAGTTTACAAATTTCAAAATTGCAATTTTTCGATTTTTTCAAATTACTGTTATCGTTATTTTTCAATTTTTCAATTTTCCATTTCACAATTTTTGATTTTTCAATTTTTAGAGTTTAATTTTTCGACTTTCCAATTTCTAGACTTTCGATGAAAATTTGTTGATGTTTTGATTTTTTGATTGCTCGAATTCTCGATTTTCGATTTTCGAGTTTTAGGATTTTTCGATTTTTTGATTTTTCAATATTTCGGTTATTCAATTTCTATATTTTTGGATGTTTCGATTTTTTCTGTTTTTACTTCTTTTAATTTTTGACTTTTCGACCTTTCGAGTTTTCTATTTTCAATGTTGCAATTTTTCGATTTTTTAATTTCTCGACTTTTGGAAGAAAATTTCTTGATGTTTAGATTTTTCGATTTTTCAATTCCTCGAGATTTTTTGAGATTTTCGAATTTTTTGATTTTGCGGATTTGTTGATTTTTTGATTTTATAATATTTCGACTTTTTGATGTTCCGATTTTTCGATTTCTCGATTTTTGAGTTTTTTACTTTTTTGATTTTTCATTTTATAGATTTATCGATTTTTCGGTTTTTAAGTTCCGAGTGACTATCAATGTTTCTAATTTTATCAGGTTGGCAACAAATTTAAAATTATATAGTGCGAAATCGAAATTTTGGTCTCCAATTCAAAAGCTGCCCATGTCAAACATGTCAAATTTGAACTGACATTGCTACCAATAATTCAGAAGTGCCAACCCAAAAATTATCATTATCTAATAATACCCAGATATAACATTTCAAACTACAAAAAAGTACAACCGTAGTACCTCAGAGTAAGAAAAAAAGAATAAAAGGAAATTTCGCTTTCTGTACTCTCCATTTGTGTGTAAAAGCTAAAGCAAAAATTTAGGTGTGTCTAAGTACTTTCGCAACCTTCATTTATCTTTACTGTGTCAAAAAAGTGTTTCATTGTCCTATAAATTTAAAAATTATGTAGTACTTTGCATTACAAACATCGTGCATTAACATACTTGAAAAACGCATTTTGTTCCTTTACATGTAGACAATATGTTGATAATTAACCAGCGACAACGACAGTAAATGGGTACTCTTTCAGTTGAAAACATGTTGTTTACCTGTCTCGGTAAGTACTACAATATGATTACGCTTAACTTACTCTAAAACAAAGTAAACACAACTATCAAGACTTAGATTTCAAGTTCGTCACGTTTTTGCAAACACCGTTTCTCTCCCTAGCAATTCTTCTCCTTTGGTACTCACACTACCACTGGAAAAGACGCCACCTGTACCGCCACGCTAGCAAAATACCAGGCATAAAAGGATACCCCGTTGTTGGTAACCTGTTCGACTTTACAGGCGACGCTAACGGTACCACCAATACTAATTTTTGTCACTGCTGTTGCTGTAGTACCCACTTTCAGAAATTTATGACAGCGTTTCAAAACATTTTGACCGTTGTACGCACATTGTAAAAGCATGGGTTGGTCCACTCCTGGTCTGCGGTATTACCAAACCTGAATACTTGGAGAAAGTACTAACAAGTCCAAACACCAATTCCAGAATACACTTATACAGAAAACTTGCTCGCGATTTTTTGGGAAATGGACTTATCACAGCTCCCAGTATGAAATCAATTTTTTTTTCGAGTACTAAAGGAAATGATTGTAGTACCTGTATGGAAGCGCCACCGCAAAATGATTAACCCGATTTTAAATCGCAAAATTCTCGACCGGTTTGTTGAAGTGTTTGGAACTCGGGCTGTCATTTTGGGCGAACGGTTAGAAGAGTACGTCGGTAGACGAAACGTGGATTTATTACAGATAGTGAGTAGATGCACGCTGGATATCACTTGTGGTACCACCTAGAAAATTGTGTAAAAATAAGGTACTATTTTAGTGGTTTCAGAAACCATGATGGGTGTTCAGGTCAATGCACAAGACGGAGATTCAGAAGTGGTAGAATGGACAGACACGTTAGTACTATCTTTCGTTTTAAATTCATCTAGCTAGACACACCGACAGGATCCTGGAAACGATGCTCCATCGACTGTATAAATTTTGGTATCACTACGACTTCATTTATAAATGTACGAGGTTGCACAAAGACACCCAGGTACTTCTAAGGAAGTTCGACCTTTTCGTTGCTGAAACTATCAAAGACAAGGAAAAAAGCGACCGATCTGAGTCTCCAGTTCTGCTGGATTATTTGCTTGATTTGTCTTCTAGTGGTACCGAAATAACAACAGACGAGATTGTAGACGAAATTAAAACTTTCATAGTTGCTGTAAATACAATTTCAGAGTCTTCTTCTTCTCATTTATCTTCGTAGGCATTCGATACAACGGCTGTTGTCACTTGCTTTGTTATTACCACGTTGGCGATGCACCCAGACATTCAGGACCAAGTTTACGACGAAGTACTTCGCGTTTTGGGTCCTGAAAAAATTCCAGACTTTCAGGATTTACCTTCTCTTAAATATACCGAGTTGGTGATTAGAGAAACTATGAGGTTGTTCCCCCCGAATATCTTTATGGCAAGAGACGTACTAGAAGATTTACCTCTTGATGGTGGTACTGGATACTTAACCTTTTCAGTACTAAATAAATTACTTTTTCAGAAGACATAACGCTTCCAAAGGACTCGTTTGTCATGCTGGGAGTCCTCCACATTCATAGAAGTACCGAATACTGGCCGGACCCACTCAAATTCGATCCGGATAGGTTTTCACCAGAGAGAAGTACCAACCGACATCCTTTTACCTACTTACCGTTCTCTGCAGGACCTATGAATTGCATCGGTCAGAAGTACGCCATGATGTCCTTGAAAACCATCGTTGCCACTCTCATCAGAAAATTTAAATTTCGTACTGAGTACAAATCGGTCGACGAGGTTAAGTTGAGGACTAAAATTGTTTTGAGACCACGGGATGGTTTTAAAACTTCTTTTGAGATAAGAAAGAACAAATAAAGAGAAATTTTTGGTTTTGGTGTTCATTGTATGTTTACTTTTATTGTGTCAAAATACACACAGATTAATTTTTAATGATCGTTACGGAATTGTAACAAGATGTATAGATTGAGAGTGGGGCCTTGAGGTACTTAGTTTTTAATTTCACGAGAAGTCGTTTTTTTTTGTTATTTTTTTATTGCGAGTGCATTACAAAGTGCTATCTAGAACTATTTCCAGAAAATCGCAATGTGTGTGGTGCTCTTCTTCTTGATACAGTCCTGAAAAATTAACGTTTTCGAATTTTTTCTAAATAGTTTAAATTTATTGTAAAAACTTACAATAACTCTGTGGGAGTTCGCTCTCTGCTGCGGCCATTGTGACTAAAGCAACGGCCCAAAAGGCGACGAAGGCGGCGGTCTGTGTATAACAAAAATTTAAAAAATTTACTTCAATTATAGACCTAATGATAACTCACCTTTAATTGTTGAAGCATGTTTTAGGGAGATGTTCTAAAACTGTGGCGGAGGAGAATTTCCATTCCCCTTTTATACCTTTCAGGAATGAGTCATTTTTCCTTAATTACAAAAATTAGAATTTCATGGCGTTTTCCTGCGCAGTTATGCAGGTAATAGTTTTTTTATTGAAAAGATATTTAAAATTGTTAATCTGTATGCAAATAACTAAGATAAAATGTGAAAATAAATAAAAAAATCTGATACGACGTTTCAAAAGTGAAGCGAATGGCGCAGCTATTAGTTCTTAAATGATGAGAATAAATGGGGAATCAAAAAGTCGAAAAATCGAAACATAGAAGATTAAAAAACTGAGAAATATTGAAAAATCAAAACAGAAATGGAAAGATCAAAAATTAAAAAAATGAAAAATCAAGAAATTCAGAATTCGGAAAATCGGAAAACGGAAAAATCGAAAAATACAGAAAGCCAGAAATTGAAAAACTGAAAAGTTAGGATCCAAAAACCAAATAATTAAATGATCCGAAAAATTAAAAATCGAAAAATCGAAAAACTAATAAATGAAAAAAACCATGAATTCGGGAAACAGAAAACTCGTGAAACTGAATAACCGAGAATTTTTACTCGATTGCCCGAATTCTAGATTTTTCAGTTTTTTTGATTTTAGAATTTGCCGATTATTAGATTTTTCAGTTTTTCTAGTCCTGAATTTCTCGATTTTTCGATTATTCGATTTCTCGATTTTTTGATGTTTCGACTTTTTGATGTTTCACTTTCCAATTTCAACATTTTTAGACTTTCCGACTTTTCGATAATGTGTTTTCGAATTTCTGATTTTTTATTTTTTATTATTATTACATTTTTCAGTTCTTGGATTTCCCGATTTTTCAATTTTGCGTTTTTCCAATTTTTCAATTTGTGGATTTCGTTACAATTTTCCGATTTCTGGATTCACGATTTTTTAATTTTTCAGTTTTCGATTTTTCAATTTTTCGAATTTTGGATTTCCCGAATTTTCGATCAATCAATTTTTTGATTTTTTGACTTTTCAGTTTTTATTAGATTTTTTAATTTTTCAGCTTTCTGTTGATGAAAATTTTTAGATGTTTCGATTTTTCTTTCGTTTTCTTGTATTTTCGGTTTTTGATATTTTAGTTTTTCAATTTTTAGATTTTTCGAATTTTAGATTTTTCTGTTTGATCTTTCAATTTTTCGGATTTTCAAGTTTCAATTTCCGCCTTTTAATTTCTGGCTTTCTCGATTTTTCAGTCTTTCCTTTCTCCGATTTTCCTATTTTTTAATTTTGCCATTTTTCAATTTTTCAAATTTTGGCTTTCTCGAGTTTTCGATTGTTCAATGTCTTCAGTTTTTGGAGTTCTTGATTTTTTCATTTTTGATTTTTCAATATTTCGACTTTTTAATTTCTCATTTATTCTCACTATTTAAAAATCAATATCTTCGCCATTTTTAAAGATGGAGGTGTGGAATTTTTGACAAAACTGTTAGTGTCTTGTTTTAATATATGTACCTATATAAACGAAAAACAGATAAATTAAGAATCAGTTTACTTTTGAAACTTCTTATCAGTGTTTTTATTTTTTATTTTAACATTTTCTCCTAGCTGTTTGCATACATATTAACAATTTTAAATATATTTTCCATAAAAAAAACATTATCTGCCAAAGTACCTACGAAAAGTGGCACAAAAATTCTAATTTTTGCACTTAAAAAGAAGTTGTTGAATACCATCCTTCAACATGCTTCAACAATCAAAGGTGACTTATTATTAACTCTATAATAATTGTGGTAAATTTTTTAAACTTTGTATACATATACAGGGTACAGTTTTCGTCGCCCTTTGGGCCGCTACTTTCGTCTTAATGGCAGCAGCGCGCAGTAGCCAAAGCGCTTGTATGTTTTTAAAATAAATTTCGATTATTTAATATTTACGTTTAAAAAACGTTAATTTTTCAGAAGGAGTGGCAAGAAGGTGACCACCAGATTGGAAATGGTTATAAGTAGCACTTTCGAATGCACTTGCAATAAAAAAATAAAATAAATGAGCTTTTTACGTTTTCGTTTGTTTTTGTTCGGTACGATAATTGTTATGAATATTCTTGTAAGTTTTCAGTAAAGTTTTGTATTTGAAAAACGTAAATTTTTTAGAACTGTGTCAACGAGATTCACTGGAAGTAATTAGTTATAGCACTAGTTATAGTTTTTTCATTTTTCGAATTGTTCGATTTTTCAATTTTTTGTTTCCTGGATTTCTCGATCTTTTGATTTTTTACTTTTTAGATTTTTGATTTCTCGACTTTTCGATGTTTCAATTGCTCGAATTCTCAAATTTGGATTTTTAAATTTTTTCATTTTTCGATTTTTCGATTTCTCGGTTTTCAATTTCATGATTTCTCAGTTTCTCTATTTTTGGATGTTTGACTTTTCGAATTTTTAACGTCTGCTTTTTTGATTTTTTTGTATTATTATTATTTTTCCACTATTCGATTTTTCGATTTTTTAATTTTTCCATTTCCCAATTTTTCGATTTCTGCATTTCACTTCAATATTCCAATTTCTCGATTTCTTCACTTTCAAATTTTGCCATTTTTTGATTTTTCGAATTTTCGAGTTTTCATTTTCACAGTTTCCAGATTATTCGGATTCTTTCGTTTTTTGGAATTTTAGATTTTTCTATTTTTCGATTTCTCTGTTTGTGGGTATTTCAATTTCTCAGTTTTACAAATTTTCAATTTTTCGAAAGCACGGTTTTTCGATTTTTCAATTTCTGGATTTTTTAGTTTCTACATTTTTTAATTTTTCAACTTTTGGATGAAAATTTTTTGATGTTATTATTTTTCGATTTCTGGATTGCTAGAATTTTTCAGTTTTTCGATTTCTTTTTGATTTTAGGATTTGTCGATTTTTTATTTTCCAATGTTTCGAATTCTCAATTTCTCGGTTTTTCAATGTTTCGGGTACTAAATTTTTCGATTTTTCGATATTTCGACTGTTTATGTCTCTATTTCTCGAATTCTCGATTTTTTGGTTTTTCGATTTTTCGTTTTAAGATTTCTAGTTCTTTGAAAATTTCGATTTTTCGTTTTTGGATTTTTTGAAATTTCTATTTTTCGATTTCTCAATTCTTCAATTTCCGGATTTCTCAATTTTGCGATACCAGGATTTCCCTATTTATCAATTTTTCGATTTTCAAATTTATCAATTTTCGCGACTTTTAATTTCTCCATTTTTCCGTTTTCCGATTTTTCGATTTATTAATTTTCCCATTTTTCAATTTTTCGATTTTTGGATTTCGCTTCTATTTTCCGATTCCTGGATTTCCCGATTTTTCAATTTCTCCAGTTTGCAACTTTTCAGTTTTTCGAATTCTGGGTTTCTCGATTTTTCAATTTCCTGATTTTTGATTTTTAGTTTTCAGACATTTTAATTTTTCAACTTTTCAATGTTCAGTTTTGCGATTTTTTTTTAATTTAGTATTTGTCGATTTTTTATTTTTCAGTGTTTCAATTTTTCAATTTCGTGGTTTTGCAATTTTTCGATTTCTCAAATTCTCGATTTTTAAGTTTTTCGATTTTTTGTTTTTCGATCTCTCGATCTTTGGATATTTCGGTTTTTCAATTTTTCATTCCTATTTCCGATTTCTCTAGTTCGAGATGAAAATTTTTTGATGTTTCGATTTTTTGATTTCTCGATTGATCGAATTCTGGATTTTTCGATCTTTTAGGTTTTCGATATTTTTGATTTTATAATTTGTCGATTTTTTTATTTTCCAAAATTTCCATTTCTCCATTTTAGAATATTCAATTTCTCGATTTTTCGATGTTTCGACTTATTGATGTTTCGATTTTCGGAATTCTCGATTTTTCGGTTTTTGTTTTTAGATTTCTCGATCTTTGAATATTTTGATTTTTCGAATTTTCGGTTTTTAGACTTTTCAGTTTCACGAGTTTTTCACTTTCCAATTTTCCCATTTTTAGATTTTTCGAATTTTTGATTTCTGGATTCAAGATTTTTCAATTTTTCGTTTTTTCAAAATTTCAATTTCCACTTTTCTTGACTTTTCAATGTTTCAATATTCGACTTTTTGATTTCTCGATTTTTTTTTGTATTTACAATTTTTGATTTTTCTATTTTTGGATTTCTTTACTTATCGACTTTTCCATTTTTCAATTTTTGGATTTCTAGATTTATCGATTTTTCAATTTCCTGATTTTTGATTTTTAGTTTTCAGACATTTTAATTTTTCAACTTTTCAATGTTCAGTTTTGCGATTTTTTTTTAATTTAGTATTTGTCGATTTTTTATTTTTCAGTGTTTCAATTTTTCAATTTCGTGGTTTTGCAATTTTTCGATTTCTCAAATTCTCGATTTTTAAGTTTTTCGATTTTTTGTTTTTCGATCTCTCGATCTTTGGATATTTCGGTTTTTCAATTTTTCATTCCTATTTCCGATTTCTCTAGTTCGAGATGAAAATTTTTTGATGTTTCGATTTTTTGATTTCTCGATTGATCGAATTCTGGATTTTTCGATCTTTTAGGTTTTCGATATTTTTGATTTTATAATTTGTCGATTTTTTTATTTTCCAAAATTTCCATTTCTCCATTTTAGAATATTCAATTTCTCGATTTTTCGATGTTTCGACTTATTGATGTTTCGATTTTCGGAATTCTCGATTTTTCGGTTTTTGTTTTTAGATTTCTCGATCTTTGAATATTTTGATTTTTCGAATTTTCGGTTTTTAGACTTTTCAGTTTCACGAGTTTTTCACTTTCCAATTTTCCCATTTTTAGATTTTTCGAATTTTTGATTTCTGGATTCAAGATTTTTCAATTTTTCGTTTTTTCAAAATTTCAATTTCCACTTTTCTTGACTTTTCAATGTTTCAATATTCGACTTTTTGATTTCTCGATTTTTTTTTGTATTTACAATTTTTGATTTTTCTATTTTTGGATTTCTTTACTTATCGACTTTTCCATTTTTCAATTTTTGGATTTCTAGATTTATCGATTTTTCAATTTTTCAACTTTTCCATTTTTCAATTTTTCGATTTCTGGATTTCTCCATTGTTCAATTTTTCAGTTTTTCAAATTTTGGAATTCTCGATTTTTCGATTATTATATCTTGATTTTTTATTTTTAAATTCTTAGACTTTTTTATTTTTCGACTCTCCGGTATCTCGAGTTTCAGTTTTAGAATTTTCAATTTCAGGATTTCTTAACTTTCTAATTTTTCATTTTTCTTGATTTTTGATTTTTCAGTTTTTAGACTTTTTAATACTTCGACTTCAAGATTTGTAGATTTTTCGAATTTTCGATTTTTCATTTTTACAATTATTTAATTTTTGGTTTCTGGATTCCGATTATGCACTTTCTCAATTTCCGCATTTCTTGACTTTTCCATTTTTCAAATATTACACTTTTTGACTTTTTGATTTTTTTGTTTCTCGATTTCCGAATTTTTCAATTTTTCAATTCTTCGACTTCGGGATTTTCCTTCAATTTTCCGATTTCTGGATTTCTCGATTTGTCTATTATTCAATTTCTTGATTTTTGATTTTTCAGTTTTTCGATGTTGTAGATTTTAGGATTTGCCGATTTTTTGACTTTTCAGATTTTCAATTTTTGGATTTCTTGATTTTTTAATTACTCTATTTCTTGATTTTTCAGTTTCTCAATTTTTCGATTTCTCTATTTTGATTTTTTTTCACTTTCCGACTTTTCGATGAAAATTTTTTGATGCTCGATTTTTCAATTTCTCGATTTTCCAGTACTTGGAGTCCTGAATTTTTCAATTATTCATTTTCACGAATTTTTGAAGTTTCGACTTTTCGATTTTCAGTTTTTTTTTTCATTTTCCAGTGTTTTTGTTTTTAGATTTTTCGAATTATCGATATTTCATTTCTACAATAATTATTCGACTTCGGTTTGTGAATTCCTGATTTTTCAATTTTCGATTTTCCCCTTTTTCAATTTCTGGATTTCTCGATTTTTCGATTATTTCTTGATTTTTTATTTTTAAATTTTTCGGCTTTCCGATTTCTCGATTTTTCAGTTTTAGATTTTTTAATTTCACAATTTCCTAACTTTACAATGTTTTCATTTTTCTTGACTTTTGATTTTTCTGACTTTCTAATACTTCCACTTTAAGATTTCTCGCCTTTTCGATGAAAATTTTTCGATTTTTCTTATTTTCAATTTTTCATTTTTACAATTTTTTAATTTTTGGTTTTTGGATCCTGATTATGCAATTTCTCAATTTCCGCATTTCTTGACTTTTCCATTTTTCAAATATTACACTTTTTGACTTTTTGATTTTTTTGTTTCTCGATTTCCGAATTTTTCAATTTTTCAATTCTTCGACTTCGGGATTTTCCTTCAATTTTCCGATTTCTGGATTTCTCCAATTGTCTATTATTCAATTTCTCACTTTTTGATTTTTCAGTTTTTCAATTTTGTTGATTTTAGCATTTGCGGATTTTTTGAGTTTACAGATTTTCAATTTCTGGATTTCTTGATTTTTTTATTACTCTATTTCTTGATTTTTCAGTTTCTCAACTTTTCGATTTCCCTATTTTGATTTTTTTTCACTTTCCGGCTTTTCGATGAAAATTTTTTGATGCTTGGATTTTTTTTCTCGGTTGCTCGAATTCTAGATTTTTCAGTATTTCAATTTTTCAATTTCCCGATTTTCCAATTTTTCGAGTCCTCGATTTTTCGATTTTTAAATTTCTCGAATTTTCGATTTTTCATTTCTACAATAATTATTCCATTTTTCGGTTTTTAGATCCCAGATTTTTCAATTTTCGATTTTCCAATTTTTCAATTTCTGAATTTCTCAATTTTTCAATTCAATCCCTTGACTTTTCAATTTTTCGGCTTTGTAGATTTTAGAATTTCTCAGTTTTTTGATTTTTCATTTATTCTCATCATTTAAAAATTAATAGCTTCGCCATTTTTAAAGATCGACGTCTGGAATTTTTGATAAAAATTTTTTAGTTTTCTTGCTTTAATATATGTATATAAATAAAAAAAACAGATAAATTAAGCATCGCTTTACTTTTGAACTATCTTATCATCGTTTTTATTTGTTTTTACAGTTTTCTTAGTTTTTGCATACATATTAACAATTTTCAATACCATTTCCATAAAAAAACTATTACTTGCGTAAGTGCGCAAGGAAAACGCCATGAAATTCTAATTTTTGTAATTAAGAAAAAATTAGTCAGTCCTGAGAGGTATAAAAGGGGCCGAAAATTCTCCTTCGACACAGTTTTTGAACATCTTCCTACACCATGCTTCAACGATTAAAGGTGAGTTATTATTTGCCATACAATTATACTAAACTTTTGACACTTTCGTTATATACAGGCCGTTGCTTTCGTCGCCTTTTGGGCCAGCACTCTCATTATAATGGCCACAGGTACGCGCAGAGCCTACGACATTTGTAAGTTGTCACAATAAATATCGATTATTTTAAAAAAAATCCAGAACGACTATATTTTTCAGAAGGACTGTGTCAAAGAGATGACCAAACATCACATTCACTGGAAATAGTTCTAGATAGCACTTTGTAATGCACTCGTAATAAAAAAATTACAAAAAAATGACTTCTCGTCAAATTAAAAACAAAGTACCTCAAGGCTCCACTCTCAATCTATACATCTTGAAACAATTCCGCAACGATCATTAAAAAAATAATCTGTGTGTATTTTGACACAATAAAAGTAAACATACAATGAACACCCAAACCAAAAATTTCTCTTTATTGGTTCTTTCTTATCTCAAAAGACGTTTTAAAACCATCACGAGCAATCGAGAAATCAAAAAATTGAAACATCAACAAATTTTCATAGAAAAATCGAGAAATCGGAAAGTCGAAAATTTGAAAAATCGAAAACTGAAAAATTGAAAAATCGAGAAATCCAGAAATCAGAAAATTGAAGCGAAATCCAGAAATCGAAAAACTGAAAATAGAGATATTAAAAAAATCGAAAAATCGGGAAACGAAAAAATCGAAACATTGAGACAGCCAGAAATCGAAAAATTGAAAAATCGAAAAATAGAAAATTGAAAACTCTAAAAACAACAAACTCGGAAAATCAAAAAAGGAAGTCAAGAAATGCGAAAACTGAAAAATTGCAAAATGGGAATCCAGAAAACAAAAAATTGAATAATTGGAAAGTAAGGAAATGCAGAAATTCAAAAGTTCAAAAACAGAAAAATCGAAAATTCAAGAAATTTTGTAATCGAAAAATTGAAAAATTGAGAAATTGAAAAATTGAAATATAGAAAAATCAAAAAATGTACAAACCTTAAAATCCAATACATCGAATAACCGAAAAATCGACAAATCGAGAATTCGGGCAATCGAGAAATCCAAACATGAAAAGTTTTCGTCGAAAAGTCGGGAAATCGGAAAAATCGAAAAATCGAGGAAGCCAAAAATTTAAACATTAAAGATCGAAAAATTGAAAATTCGAGAAATTAGGAAATGCAAAAATTGAAAAATTGAAAAATCGACAAATAGAGAAATCGAAAAAAGAAAAATCGAAAAATCAAAAAGTGAAATAACTGAAAAATCGAAAATTCAAGAAACGCGGGAATTGAATAATTGAAAAACCCAGAGATTGAAAAATCAGTAGAAAAATTGAATAATTGTAAAAATAAACAAGCGAAAATTCGAAAGTTCGAAAAATGGGAAACTTGAATATGAAAAATCAAAATATCGGAAAATCGCAAAATCTAAAAACGAAAAATTGAAAATTGGAAAAATCGAAACATCAAAAATTCGAAACATCGAAAAATCGAGAAATTCAGGACTCGAAAAACTTAAAAATCGAAATTTTGAAAAATCAAACATATCTACAAATTCTACAATAAAAAAAAAACAAAAATCTGAAAAATCGAAATATGCAGGAATCGAAAAATTGAAAAATCGAGACATTTGGAAATCCGAAAATGGAGAAATCGATAATTAGAAAATTCGGAAATCAAAAAGTAGAGAAACCGAACTATGGAAAAGTCAACAAACTGAGAAATCGAAAAGTCGAAATATCGAAAAATCAAAATCGAGAAATTGAAAGTTCAAAAAATTTTCTGAAAAAATCGAGAAATCGAAAAGTCGAAAATTTGAAAAATCGAAAACTGAAAAATTGAAAAATCGAGAAATCTAGAAATCAGAAAATTGAAGCGAAATCCAGAAATCGGAAAACTGAAAAATAGAGAAATTAAAAAAATTGAAAAAACGGGAAACAAAAAAATCGAAAAAAAATGGAAAAATCGAAAAATAGAAAAATTGAAAATTCTAAAAACAAAAAAATCGAAAAATCAAAAAAGGAAGTCAAGAAATGCGAAAACTGAAAAATTGCAAAATCGGAATCCAGAAAACAAAAAATTGAATAATTGGAAAGTAAGGAAATCCAGAAATTCAAAAGTTCAAAAACCGAAAAATCGAAAATTCAAGAAATTTTGTAATCGAAAAATTGAAAAATTGAGAAATTGAAAAATTGAAATATAGAAAAATCAAAAAATGTACTAACCTTAAAATCCAATACATCGAATAACTGAAAAATCGACAAATCGAGAATTCGGGCAATCGAGAAATCCAAACATGAAAAGTTTTCCTCGAAAAGTCGGGAAATCGGAAAAATCGAAAAATCGAGGAAGCCAAAAATTTAAACATTAAAGAATCGAAAAATTGATAAATTCGAGAAATTCGGAAATGCAAAAATTGAAAAATAGAGAAATCGACAAATAGAGAAATCGAAAAAGAAAAATCGAAAAATCTGAAAACAAAAAAATCGAAAAATCAAAAAGTGAAATAACTGAAAAATCGAAAATTCAAAAAACGCGGAAATTGAATAATTGAAAAACCCAAAGATTGAAAAATCAGTAGAAAAATTGAATAATTGTAAAAATAAACAAGCGAAAATTCGAAAGTTCGAAAAATGGGAAACTTGAATATGAAAAATCAAAATATCGGAAAATCGAGAAATCTAAAAACGAAAAATCGAAAATTGGAAAAATCGAAATATCCAGGAATCGAAAAATTGAAAAATCGAGACATTTGGAAATCCGAAAATAGAGAAATCGATAATTAGAAAATTCGGAAATCAAAAAGTAGAGAAACCGAACTATGGAAAAGTCAACAAACTGAGAAATCGAAAAGTCAAAATATCGAAAAATCAAAATCGAGAAATTGAAAGATCAAAAAATTTTCATGAAAAAATCGAGAAATCGAAAAGTCGAAAATTTGAAAAATCGAAAACTGAAAAACTGAAAAATCGAGAAATCCAGAAATCAGGAAACTGAAGTGAAATCCAGGAATCGGAAAACTGAAAAATAGAGAAATTAAAAAAATTGAAAATTCGGGAAACAAAAAAATCGAAACAATGAGACAGCCAGAAATCGAAAAATGGAAAAATCGAAAAATAGAAAAATTGAAAATTCTAAAAACAAAAAAATTTAAAAATCAAAAACGTAAGTCAAGAAATGCGAAAACTGAAAAATTGCAAAATGGGAATCCAGAAAACAAAAAATTGAATAATTGGGAAGTAAGAAAATCCAGAAATTCAAAAGTCCAAAAACCGAAAAATCGAAAATTCAAGAAATTTTGTAATCGAAAGATTGAAAAATTGAGAAATTGAAAAATTGAAATATAGAAAAATCAAAAAATGTACAAACCTTAAAATCCAGTACTTCGAAAAACAAAAACATCGAGAAATCGAAATGTGAAATATTTGAAAATTCGAAAAGTCAAGAATTGCAGAAATTGAAAATTAAAAAAAAAAAACAGGAAAATTGAATAATTGGGAATCCACAAAACGAAAATTAGAATAATTATAAAAATGAAAAATTTTTAAAATTCGAACAATCTAAAAAAGAAAAATGGAAAAACCGAAAAATCAGAAAGCAGTAATCCAGAAATTCGGAACTCGAAAAATTTGAAACTCGAAATATTGAAAAATCAAAAAATCGGCAAATTCTAAAATAAAAAAAAATATCTAACAACCGAAAAATCGAGAAAAAATTTTAAATCGCGTAATCTGGAAATCGGAATAGTGAAATGAAATCCAGAAATCAAAAGAATTTGAAAATGGAAAAATTAAAATTCGCGAAAGCAGGAAATTGAAAAATTGGAAAATCGCAAAATTAAAAAATTGGGAAATCCGGGAATCGAAAAATTGATTAATAATAATAATAATTTGAAAAAATCTAGAAATCCGTAAACTTGAAAAATCGAGAAATCCAGGAATCGGAAAACTGAAGTGACTTCCAGAAATCGAAAAATTGGAAATTGGGATAATAAAAAATCGAAAAATTGGAAAACGGAAACAATAAAAAATCGAGAAGACCAGAAATTGAAAAATCAAGAAACAAAAAAATTGAAAAATCAAAAGGTGAAATATTTGAGAAAGTCAAGAATTGCGGAAATTGAAAATTTGAAAAACCGCAAAATTGCAAAATAGGAATCCAGAAAGCAAAAAATTCAATAATCGAAAATCGAAAATTCTAAAAACGAAGAAACAGGAAAATGAAAAAAATCGATAAATCTAAAAACTGGAAAATCGAAAAATCGAGAAATTGAATAGAATTATTGAAAAATCAAAAATCCACAAATCCTAGAATCAAAACAATCGAAAAACTGAGAGTTCGTGCAAGCGGGAAACCGGAAAATCGAAACATCAAAAAATTTTCATCGAAAAGTCGAAAATCGGAAACTCGAATAATTAAAAAAGTCTAAAAGTGAAAAGTTAAGAAAAATTCAAAAATCGAAAACTGAAAATTTGAAAAATCGCAAAATCAAAAAATTGGAAAATCCAGGACTATCCAAAAATTGAATAATAATAATAATAATACTCTTAAAAATCGAAAATCGAAATACAGAAGAGTAAAAATTATTACAATTCCGTAACGATCATTAAAAAATTAATCTGTGTGTATTTTGACACAATAAAAGTAAACATACAATGAACACCCAAACCAAAAATTTCTCTTTATTGGTTCTTTCTTATCTCAAAATAAGTTTTAAAACCATCACGTGGTCTCAAAACAACTTTAGTCCTCAACTTAACCTCGTCGACCGTTTTGTACTCAGTACGAAATTTAAATTTTCTGATAAGAGTGGCAACGATGGTTTTCAAGGACATCATGGCGTACTTCTGACCGATGCAATTCATAGGTCCTGCAGAGAACGGTATGTAGGTAAAAGGATGTCGGTTGGTACTTCTCTCTGGTGAAAACCTATCCGGGTCGAATTTGAGAGGGTCCGGCCAGTATTCGGTACTTCTATGAACGTGGAGTACCCCCAGCATAACAACCGAGCCCTTTGGAAGCGTTATGTTCTCTGAAAAAGTAATTTATTTAGTACTGAGAAGGTTAAGCATCTGGTACAACCATCAAGAGGTAAATCTTCTTGTACGTCTCTTGCCATAAAGATATTCGGAGGGAACAACCTCATGGTTTCTTTAATCACCAACTCTGTATATTTAAGAGAAGGTAAATCCTGAAAGTCCGGAATTTTTTCAGGACCCAAAACGCGAAGTACTTCTTCGTCAACTTGGTCCTGAATGTCAGGATGCAACGCCAACGTGGTAATAACAAAACAAGTGACAACGGCCGTTGTATCGAATGCCTACGAAGATAAATGAGAAGAAGAAGACTCTGAAATTGTATTTACAGCAGCTACGAAAGTTTTAATTTCGTCTACAATCTCGTCTGTTGTTATTTCGGTACCACTAGAAGACAAATCAAGCAAATAATCCAGCAAAACTGGAAACTCAGATTTGTCGCTTTTTTCCTTGTTTTTGATAGCTTCTGCTACAAATTGGTTGCACTTCGTTAGAAGTACCTGGGTTTCTTTGTGCAACCTCGTACGTTTATAAATGAAGTCGTGGTGGTACCAAAAGTTGTACAGTCGATGGAGCATCGTTTCCAGGATCCTGTGGGACTGTCTAGCTAGATGAATTTAAAACGAAAGATAGTACTAACGTGTCTGTCCATTCTACCACTTCTGATTCACCGTCTTGTGCATTGACCTGAACACCTATTATGGTTTCTGAAACGACTAAAATAGTACCTGATTTTTGCACAAGTTTCTAAGTGGTACCAAAAGCGATATCCAGCGTACATCTACTGACTATCTGTAATAAATCCACGTTTCGTCTACCGACGTACTCTTCTAACCGTTCGCCCAAAATGACAGCCCGAGTTCCAAACACTTCAACAAACCGGTCGAGGATTTTCCGATTTAAAATCGGGTTAATCATTTTGCGGTGGCGCTTCCATACAGGTCCTACAATCATTTCCTTTAACACTCGAAAAAAGAAATGATTTCATACTTGGAGCTGTGAAAAGTCCATTTCCCAAGAAATTGCGACCAACTGTTCTGAATAAGTATATTCTGGAATTGGTGTTTGGACTTGTTAGTACTTTCTCCAAGTATAAAGGTTTGGTAATACCGCAGACCAGGATTGGACCAATCCATGCTTTTACAATGTGCGTACAACGGTCAAAATGTTTTGTAACGTTGTCAAAAATTTCTAAAAGTGGGTACTACATTAATAATAGTGACAAAAATGAATATTGGTGGTACCGTTAGCGTCGCCTGTAAAGTCGAACAGGTTACCAACAACAGGGTATCCTTTTATGCCTGGTATTTTGCTAGCGTGGCGGTAAAGGTGGCGCCTTTTCCAGTGGTAGTGGAAGTACCAAAGGAGAAGAATTGCTAGGGAGAGAAACGGTGTTTGCAAAAACGTGACGAACTTGAAAGCTAAGTCTTGATAGTTGTTTTTACTTTGTTTTAGATTATGGTAGGCGTAATCATATTGTAGTACTTACCGAGACTGGTAAACAACATGTTTTCAACTGAAAGAGTACCCATTTACTGTCGTTGTCGCTGGTTAGTTATCAACATTTTGTCCACATGTAAAGGAAAAAAATGCTTTTCCAGTATGTTAATGAAGAACGTTTGTAATGCAAAGTACCACATAATTTTTAAATTTATAGGACAATGAAACACTTTTTTGACACAGTAAAGATAAATGAAGGTTGCGAAGGTACTTGGACAAGCCTAAATTTTTGCTTTAGCTTTTACATACTAATGGAGAGTACAGAAAGCGAAATTTCCTTTTATTCTTTTTTCCTTACTCTGAGGTACTACCATTGTACTTTTTTGTAGTTTGAAATGTTATACCTGGGTATTATTTTTGATAATTTTTGAGTTATTGGTAGCAATGTCATTTCAAAGTTGACATGTTTGACACGGGCAGCTTTTGAATTGGAGACTAAAATTTTGATTTCGCACTATATAATTTTAAATTTGTTGCCAACCTGATAAAATTAGAAACATGGATAGTCACTCGGAACTTAAAAACCGAAAAATCGATAGACCTATAAAATGGAGAAATCTAAAAATGAAAAATAAAAAAAGTAAAAAACTGAAAAATCGAGAAATCGAAAAATCGGAACATCAAAATGTCGAAACGTCGAAAAATGAAGAAATTGAATAATCGTAAAAGTCAGAAATTCGGACCTCCAACAATTGAAAAGTAGAAATTTTATAAAATCAAAAAATCGACAAATCCGCAAAATTTCAAAAATTCTCGAGGAATTGAAAAATCGAAAAATCTAAACATCAAGAAAAATTGAAAAGTATAAATACCCAAAATTCAAAAACCGGGAAATTGAATAATTAAAAAATCGGAAAATTGAAGTGAAAAATTGACAAACGGGGAAATTGAAAAAAATCGAAAAATCGGAAGAAAGAAAAATTGGGAAATCCAGAAATCGGAAAAATGAGAATTCGAGAAGTCCGGAAATCCAAAAAAAAATTGAGAAATGAAAAAATCGACAAATAAAAAGTCAAAAAATCAAAAATCCAAATTCCAATAACAAAAAAATCAAAAAGTGGAATATTTGAAAAATCGAAAAGGCAAGAAATGCAGAAATTTAAAATTTGAAAAACCGAAAAATTGCAAAATCAGGAATCCAAAAGCCGAAAAATTGAATAATCCAGAAACAGTAAAAATGAAAAATCGTAAATTCGGAAAATCTAAAAATGGAAAAATCGAAAAGTGAAGAAATCGTGCAAATGAAAAATCTAAAAACTGAAAAATCGAAAAATCGATACATTTATAAAAAATAAAAATCTAAAAACGAAAAATCGAAAATTCTAGAAATCGAAACATCGAAAAATTTAGAAATTTGGAACTCCAACAATAGAAAAATCGGGAAATAGAAAAATGGGGACATTGTAAAACCAAAAAACCTACAAGTCCTCAAAATCAAAAAAATCAAAAAATTGAAATAATCGCAAAATCGAGAAATCCAGATCTCGAAAACTTGAAAAATCGTAAATTGAAAAATTAAAAAATCGAGAAATCCAGGAACAGGAAAGTTGAATGAAATCGAAGAATTGGAAAACGGAAAAATCGATAATCGAGAATTCGAACAATCAAGAAATCGAAAAATTAATGTCTAAAAATTGAAAAATCGGAATTGAGAAATGGAACATTGAAAAATTGAAAAATAATGATAATAGTAGATTTAAAAAAATCGAAAAATTACAAAACCGAAAGTAGAAAAACCGAAAGTCAAAAAATTTAAAAAAGTAAAAACAGAAAAAATCTAAACATCGAAAAATATAGAAATTGATTAATCGAAAATTAGCGAAATTCCGAACTCAAAAAAATCTAAAAAGTCAAAAATCAATAATCGAGAATTCGAGCAATCGAGAAATCAAAAAATCGAAACATCAACAAATTTTCATCGAGAAATCGGAAAGTCGAAAATTTGAAAAATCTAAAACTGAAAAATTGAAAAATCGAGAAATCCAGAAATCGGAAAATTGAAGCGAAATTCAGAAATCGAAAAATTGAAAAATCGAAAAGTAGAAAAATTGAAAACTCTAATTAGAACAACAAAATCGGAAAATCAAAAAAGGAAATCAAGAAATGCGAAAACTGAAAAATTGCAAAATGGGAATCCAGAAAACAAACAATTGAGTAATTTGAAAGTAAGGAAATCCAGAAATTCAAAAGTCAAAAAGGGAAAAATCGAAAATTCAAGAAATTTTGTAATCGAAAAATTGAAAAATTGAGAAATTGAAAAATTGAAATATAGAGAAATCAAAAAATTGAAATATAGAGAAATCAAAAAATGTACAAACCTTAAAATCCAATACATCGAATAACTGAAAAATCGACAAATCAAGAATTCGGGCAATCGAGAAATCGAAAAATCCAAACCTGAAAAGTTTTCGTCGAAAAGTCGGGAAATCGGAAAAATCGAAAAATCGAGGAAGCCAAAAATTTAAACATTAAAGAATCGAAAAATTGAAAAATCGACAAATAGAGAAATCGAAAAAAGAAAAATCGAAAAATCAAAAAGTGAAATAACTGAAAAATCGAAAATTCAAGAAACGCAGAAATTGAATAATTGAAAAACCCAAAGATTGAAAAATCAGTAGAAAAATTGGATAATTGTAAAAATAAACAAGCGAAAATTCGAAAGTTCGAAAAATGGGAAACTTGAATATGAAAAATCAAAATATCGGAAAATCGAAAAATCTAAAAACGAAAAATTGAAAACTGGAAAAATCGAGACACCAAAAATTCGAAACATCGAAAAATCGAGAAATTCAGGACTCGAAAAACTTAAAAATCGAAATTTTGAAAAATCAAACAAATCTACAAATTCTACAATAAAAAAAAAACAAAAATCTGAAAAATCGAAATATCCAGGAATCGAAAAATTGAAAAATCGAGACATTTGGAAATCCGAAAATAGAGAAATCGATAATTAGAAAATTCGGAAATCAAAAAGTAGAGAAATCGAACTATGGAAAAGTCAACAAACTGAGAAATCGAAAAGTCGAAATATCGAAAAATCAAAATCCAGAAATCGGAAAACTGAAAAATAGAGAAATTAAAAAAAATGAAAAAACGGGAAACAAAAAAATCGAAACAATGAGACAGCCAGAAATCGAAAAATGGAAAAATCGAAAAATAGAAAAATTGAAAATTCTAAAAACACAAAAATCGAAAAATCAAAAAAGGAAGTCAAGAATTGCGAAAACTGAAAAATTGCAAAATGGGAATCCAGAAAACAAAAAATTGAATAATTGGAAAGTAAGGAAATCCAGAAATTCAAAAGTCCAAAAACCGAAAAATCGAAAACTCAAGAAATTTTGTAATCGAAAAATTGACAAATTGAGAAATTGAAAAATTGAAATATAGAAAAATCAAAAAATGTACTAACCTCAAAATCCAATACATCGAATAACTGAAAAATCGACAAATCGAGAATTCGGGCAATCGAGAAATCCTAACATGAAAAGTTTTCGTCGAAAAGTCGGGAAATCGGAAAAATCGAAAAATCGAGGAAGCCAAAAATTTAAACATTAAAGAATCGAAAAATTGAAAATTCGAGAAATTCGGAAATGCAAAAATTGAAAAATAGAGAAATCGACAAATAGAGAAATCGAAAAATGAAAAATCGAAAAATCTAAAAACAAAAAAATTGAAAAATCAAAAAGTGAAATAACTGAAAAATCGAAAATTCAAAAAACGCGGAAATTGAATAATTGAAAAACCCAAAGATTGAAAAATCAGTATAAAAATTGAATAATTGTAAAAATAAACAAGCGAAAATTCGAAAGTTCGAAAAATGGGAAACTTGAATATGAAAAATCAAAATATCGGAAAATCGAGAAATCTAAAAACGAAAAATCGAAAATTGGAAAAATCGTAACATGGAAAAATCGAAATATCCAGGAATCGAAAAATTTGAAAAATCGGGACATTTGGAAATCCGAAAATAGTGAAATCGATAATTAGAAAATTCGGAAATCAAAAAGTAGAGAAACCGAACTATGGAAAAGTCAACAAACTGAGAAATCGAAAAGTCGAAATATCGAAAAATCAAAATCGAGAAATTGAAAGATCAAAAAATTTTCATGAAAAAATCGAGAAATCGAAAAGTCGAAAATTTGAAAAATCGAAAACTGAAAAATTGAAAAATCGATAAATCTAGAAATCAGAAAATTGAAGCGAAATCCAGAAATCGGAAAACTGAAAAATAGAGAAATTAAAAAAATTGAAAAAACGGGAAACAAAAAAATCGAAAAAAAATGGAAAAATCGAAAAATTGAAAAATTGAAAATTCTAAAAACAAAAAAATCGAAAAATCAAAAAAGGAAATCAAGAAATGCGAAAACTGAAAAATTGCAAAATCGGAATCCAGAAAACAAGAAATTGAATAATTGGAAAGTAAGGAAATCCAGAAATTCAAAAGTCCAAAAACCGAAAAATCGAAAATTCAAGAAATTTTGTAATCGAAAGATTGAAAAATTGAGAAATTGAAAAATTGAAATATAGAAAAATCAAAAAATGTACAAACCTTAAAATCCAGTACTTCGAAAAACAAAAAAATCGAGATTTCGAAAAGTGAAATATTTGAAAAATCGAAAAGTCAAGAATTGCAGAAATTGAAAATTTAAAAAAACAGGAAAATTGAATAATTGGGAATCCACAAAACGAAAATTAGAATAATTATAAAAATGAAAAATTTTTAAAATTCGAACAATCTAAAAATGAAAAATGGAAAGACCGAAAAATCAGAAAGCAGTAATCCAGAAATTCGGGACTCGAAAAATTTGAAACTCGAAATATCGAAAAATCAAAAAATCGGCAAATTCTAAAATAAAAAAAATCTAACAACCGAAAAATCGAGAAAAAATTTTAAATCGCGTAATCTGGAAATCGGAATAGTGAAATGAAATCCAGAAATCAAAAGAATTTGAAAATGGAAAAATTAAAATTCGCGAAAGCAGGAAATTGAAAAATTGGAAAATCGCAAAATTAAAAAATTGGGAAATCCGGGAATCGAAAAATTGATTAATAATAATAATAATAATAATAATTTGAAAAAATCTAGAAATCCGTAAACTTGAAAAATCGAGAAATCCAGGAATCGGAAAACTGAAGTGACTTCCAGAAATCGAAAAATTGGAAATTGGGATAATAAAAAATCGAAAAATTGGAAAACGGAAACAATGAAAAATCGAGAAGACCAGAAATTGAAAAATCAAGAAACAAAAAAATTGAAAAATCAAAAGGTGAAATATTTGAGAAAGTCAAGAATTGCGGAAATTGAAAATTTGAAAAACCGCAAAATTGCAAAATAGGAATCCAGAAAGCAAACAATTCAATAATCGAAAATCGAAAATTCTAAAAACGAAGAAACAGGAAAATGAAAAAAATCGATAAATCTAAAAACTGGAAAATCGAAAAATCGAGAAATTGAATAGAATTATTGAAAAATCAAAAATCCACAAATCCTAGAATCAAAACAATCGAAAAACTGAGAATTCGTGCAAGCGAGAAACCGAGAAATCAAAAAATTTTCATCGAAAAGTCGAAAATCGGAACGTCGAATAATTAAAAAAGTCTAAAAAATCGAAAACTGAAAATTTGAAAAATCGCAAAATCAAAAAATTGGAAAATCCAGGACTATCCAAAAATTGAATAATAATAATAATAATATTTTTAAAAATCGAAAATCGAAATATAAAAGAGTAAAAATTATTACAATTCCGTAACGATCACTAAAAAATTAATCTGTGTGTATTTCGACACAATAAAAGTAAACATACAATGAACACCCAAACAAAAAATTTCTCTTTATTGGTTCTTTCTTATCTCAAAAGAAGTTTTAAAACCATCACGTGGTCTCAAAACAACTTTAGTCCTCAACTTAACCTCGTCGACCGTTTTGTACTCAGTACGAAATTTAAATTTTCTGATAAGAGTGGCAACGATGGTTTTCACGGACATCATGGCGTACTTCTGACCGATGCAGTTCATAGGTCCTGCAGAGAACGGTATGTAGGTAAAAGGATGTCGGTTGGTACTTCTCTCTGGTGAAAACCTATCCGGTTCGAATTTGAGAGGGTCCGGCCAGTATTCGGTACTTCTATGAACGTGGAGTACCCCCAGCATAACAACCGAGCCCTTTGGAAGCGTTATGTCCTCTGAAAAAGTAATTTATTTAGTACTGAGAAGGTTAAGCATCCGGTACCACCATCAAGAGGTAAATCTTCTTGTACGTCTCTTGCCATAAAGATATTCGGAGGGAACAACCTCATGGTTTCTTTAATCACCAACTCTGTATATTTAAGAGAAGGTAAATCCTGAAAGTCTGGAATTTTTTCAGAACCCAAAACGCGAAGTACTTCTTCGTAAACTTGGTCCTGAATGTCAGGATGCAACGCCAACGTGGTAATAACAAAACAAGTGACAACGGCCGTTGTATCGAATGCCTACGAAGATAAATGAGAAGAAGAAGACTCTGAAATTGTATTTACAGCAGCTACGAAAGTTTTAATTTCGTCTACAATCTCGTCTGTTGTTATTTCGGTACCACTAGAAGACAAATCAAGCAAATAATCCAGCAGAACTGGAAACTCAGATTTGTCGCTTTTTTCCTTGTTTTTGATAGCTTCTGCTACAAATTGGTTGCACTTCGTTAGAAGTACCTGGGTTTCTTTGTGCAACCTCGTACGTTTATAAATGAAGTCGTGGTGGTACCAAAAGTTATACAGTCGATGGAGCATCGTTTCCAGGATCCTGTGGGACTGTCTAGCTAGATGAATTTAAAACGAAAGTTAGTACTAACTTGTCTGTCCATTCTACCACTTCTGATTCACCGTCTTGTGCATTGACCTGAACACCTATTATGGTTTCTGAAACGACTAAAATAGTACCTGATTTTTGCACAAGTTTCTAAGTGGTACCAAAAGCGATATCCAGCGTACATCTACTGACTATCTGTAATAAATCCACGTTTCGTCTACCGACGTACTCTTCTAACCGTTCGCCCAAAATGACAGCCCGAGTTCCAAACACTTCAACAAACCGGTCGAGGATTTTCCGATTTAAAATCGGGTTAATCATTTTGCGGTGACGCTTCCATACAGGTCCTACAATCATTTCCTTTAACGCTCGAAAAAAAAAATGATTTCATACTTGGAGCTGTGAAAAGTCCATTTCCCAAGAAATCGCGAGCAACTCTTCTGAGTAAGTATACTCTGGAATTGGTGTTTGGACTTGTTAGTACTTTCTCCAAGTATTCAGGTTTGGTGATACCGCAGACCAGGATTGGACCAATCCATGCTTTCACAATGTGAGTACATCGGTCAAAATGTTTTGAAACGCTGTCAAAAATTTCTAAAAGTGGGTACTATAGTGACAGTGGCGGCAAAAATGAGTGTTGGTGGTACCGTTAGCGTCGCCTGTAAAGTCGAACAGGTTACCAACAACGGGGTATCCTTTTATGCCTGGTATTTTGCTAGCGTGGCGGTAAAGGTGGCGTCTTTTCCAGTGGTAATGTAGGTACCAAAGGAGAAGAATTGCTAGGGAGAGAAACGGTGTTTGCAAAAACGTGACGAACTTGAAAGCTAAGTCTTGATATTTGTGTTTACTTTGTTTTAGATTATGTTAGGCGTAATCATATTGTAGTACTTACCGACACAGGTAAACAACATGTTTTCAACTGAAAGAGTACCCATTTACTGTCGTCGTCGCAGGTTAATTATCAACATATTGTCTACATGTAAAGGAACAAAATGCGTTTTTCCAGTATGTTAATGCAAGTTGTTTGTAATGCAAAGTACTACATAATTTTTAAATTTATAGGACAATGAAACACTTTTTTGACACAGTAAAGATAAATGAAGGTTGCGAAGGTACTTAGACACGCCTAAATTTTTGCTTTAGCTTTTACACACAAATGGGGAGTACAGAAAGCGAAATTTCCTTTTATTCTTTTTTTCTTACTCTGAGGTACTACGGTTGTACTTTTTTATAGTTTGAAATGTTATATCTGGGTATTATTAGATAATGATAATTTTTGGGTTGGCACTTCTGAATTATTGGTAGCAATGTCAGTCCAAATTTGACATGTTTGACATGGACAGCTTTTGAATTGGAGACCAAAATTTCGATTTCGCACTATGTAATTTTAAATCTGTTGCCAACCTGATAAAATTAGAAATATTGATAGTCACTCGGAACTTAAAAACCGAAAAATCGATAAATCTATAAAATGAAAAATCAAAAAAGTAAAAAACTCAAAAATCGAGAAATCGAAAAATCGGAACATCAAAAAGTCGAAATATTATAAAATCAAAAAATCAACAAATCCGCAAAATCAAAAAATTCGAAAATCTCAAAAAATCTCGAGGAATTGAAAAATCGAAAAATCTGAACATCAAGAAATTTTCTTCCAAAAGTCGAGAAATTAAAAAATCGAAAAATTGAAAAGTCTAAAAACTGAAAATTCAAAAACCGGGAAATTGAATAATTAAAAAATCGGAAAATTGAGGTGAAAAATTGACAAATGGGAAAATTGAAAAAATCGAAAAATCGGAAAATAGAAAAATTGGGAACTCCAGAAATCGGAAAAATGAAAAATCGAGAAGTCCCGAAATCCAAAAATTGAGAAATGAAAATGAGTGTTGGTGGTACCGTTAGCGTCGCCTGTAAAGTCGAACAGGTTACCAACAACGGGGTATCCTTTTATGCCTGGTATTTTGCTAGCGTGGCGGTAAAGTTGGCGTCTTTTCCAGTGGTAGTGGAAATACCAAAGGAGAAGAATTGCTAGGAAGAGAAACGGTGTTTGCAAAAACGTGACGAACTTGAAAGCTAAGTCTTGATAGTTGTGTTTACTTTGTTTTAGATTGTGGTAGGCGTAATCATATTGTAGTACTTACCGAGACTGGTAAACAACATGTTTTCAACTGAAAGAGTACACATTTACTATGATTGTCTTAGGTTAGTTAAGCATATTGTCTACATGTCAAGGAGAACAAATGTGTTTGTCCAGTATGTTAATGGAGGATGTCGGTAATGCAAAGTACTAGATAATTTTTTATTTTATAGGGCAATAAAACATTTTTTTGACGCAGTAAAAATAAATGAAGGTCTCGAAGGAACTTGGACTCGTTTAAATTTTTATTTTACCTTGTACTTTGTACTCTGAGGTACTACTGTTGTACTTTTTTATATTTTGAAATGTTATACCTGGGGACTATTAATGATAATTTTTGGGTTGGCAATTCTGAATTATTGGTAGCAATGTCAGTTCAAAATTTGTGCCAACCTGATAAAATTACAAACAATGATGATCACTCGGAACTTAAATCTTTCGTTAACGTATACACAGTTCTATGATTTAATGACTTCTTTTATGGGATTTTTTGCCACGTTTTTCGTCTTTTTTGGTCGCCTTTTGTTTTTCTATACTTTTTGTCCTTTTTTATGTCGCTCTCGTTATATCCTTTTTTATCGGGTTGTTTTACTATTTTTCAGTCTCTCATTTTTTACCTATGGTTTTCCATTTTTTTGTTGCCTTTTTTCTCATTTTTTTGACTCTCTTTGTTCTAGTTCCAATTTTTGGCGACTTTTAGTATCATTTTCTATTACATTTTTTGGTGGCCTTTTTGTCACGTTTTTTCTTTTTTCACCTTTTTTGTCTCTTTTTTGAAATGAAGGAAGTAAATTCCTTTTATTTTAGATTCATTTCGTCGTCTTGTTTTTATGGAATTTTTTTGCCTGTTTTTTTTTTTTGGTCCTTTTTTTTGCCCTCTTTTTTTCTCTCTTCTCTCTTTTTGATCACCTTTTTTTTTTCTCACTTCTTTGTTTTAATGTCAATTTTTGGTAATCTTTTTTGTCGTTTTATTTTTACCTTCTTTGTTATTTTCTGTTATCTTTTTTGTCTCTTTTCTGACTGCATTTAGTTTGGTTTGGTTTTTTCACTATCTGTCATTTTTTATGCCGGCTTTTTTCCGTCCTTTTCATTCTTCTCTCTTCAGTATCCGTTTTTTGGTCACTTTTCTTGTCGCTTATTTACCAACTTTTTATTCACATTTTTTACTATTTTTTGTTGGTTTTTTCTCGTCTTTTTGACATTTTTTTAATCTCTTTTCTATAGCTTATTTTGCCACTTTTTTGGTTCCTTTTATTTCAGTACTATTTTTAATAGACTTTTTGTCGCCGCCCTTTTCGAGTTTTTTGTTCCTTTTTATGGAATTTTTCGTCTTGCATTGTCCTTTATAGCCATTTTTCATGTCTCCTTTTTTATTGTCTTTTGTGTAGCCCGTTTTGCATTTTTTTTCTGTGGCATTTTTATAGTCTTTCGTCTTTTTTTGTTCTTCTTTGAGTAACTGTTTTTTTTGACGTTTTATACTCCCTTTTTTGTTGTACTCTTCTTTCCTGCTCTTTTGACCCTTTTTTTGTTCCTATTTTTTTTTTAGTTTTTTTTGTGGCCTTTTGTGGTCACCTTTATTTTCTTATGTTTTTTTGACTCTTTAGTTATACTCCTTTTTTTGGCATATTTTTTTCTTCTTTTTGTGCTTTTTTGTCGCCTCTTCACCGTTGTTTGTTCAATTTATTTATCTCTTATTTTTATCACGTTGTTTTGTCGTATTTTATTTGATGGTCTTTTCTTTTGTCGTCTTTTTTTTCGGTTTTTTTTGTAGCTTTTTTTATCGACTTTTTCCTCCTTTTATTTTTGTATCATTTTCAATGGTATATTTGTTGCCTTTCAAATTTTTTTATATTGTTTTGACACCTTTAATTTTGCTTCTTTTTTGTCGCATTTTTTCGTTTTTATCCACTTTTCGACATCTTTTTTCCTTGGTTGTCTTCTTTTTGTTACCTTTTTGTACCACTTTTTTCTTCTTCTTTTTTGTTCCCTTTTATGTCACTTTTTTTTCCGCTTTTTTTTGTCATTCTATAGCCTCTTTTTGTCCCTATTTTTGACTCTTTTTATTTTAGTTTCGTTTGTTTTAACCCTTATATTCAATTGATTTTTTTTGGTCTTTTTTGATTCCTTATTTTTGATCAACTTCTTCCTCACTTCTGTTTTTTGGTCTCAATTTTTGGTAACAATTTTTCTCGTCTTATCTTCTCCTTCTTCGTTATTTTGTGTTGTCTTTTTTGTCTCATTTTTGACTCCCTTTAGTTTGGTTTGGTTTTTTCGCGTTTTTTGTCGCTTTTTGAAGTATTTTTTGCCACTTTTCTTTTTGTAGTTTTTTGTGACTATTTTTTCATTTTTTATTCCTTTTATTTTTTCTCCAATTTTTTTCAGTGGCATTTTTTGTCACCTTTTTTTCGCTTTTATTGTTCTGGGGATTTTAGATTTTTTTGTGCCTTTTTTGTCAGTTTTTTCTTAAGTTTTTTGACTTCCTTCATTTACACTTTTTATTTTAGTTTCATTTGTATTTTCTCTTATTTTCAGTGTAATTTTTGACATTTTTTTTTCTTCTTTTTTGCCTCTTCTGTCACTATTTTTTGTTTACTCTGTTTATCTGTTATTTTTTATCACATTTTTTGTCATTTATTATTTGGTTATTTTTTACTTTGTTGTCTTTTTTTCGTGTTTTTTGTTGCTTTTTTATCGACTTTTTCTTCCTTTTATTTTTGTATCATTTTTAATGGTATATTTGTCGCCTTTTTTTGCATTGACCCTTTTTTGTCCATTCCTATTTTCTTTTTATCACATTTTCTTTGTCGTATAGCTATTATTTCGTTGTTTTTTATTTTGTCGTCTTTTTGTTGCGTTTTTCCTTTATTTTGTACCATTTTTAATGACATTTTTTCATCCTTTTCCGCCTTGCATTCACTTTTTTGTCATTTTTCTGTCCCTCTTTTTAACGTCTTCTTATTTCTCTTTCATGTATTTTTTACTTTTTTTTTTCAGTGGCATTATTGTCGCTTTTCCGCTTTTTTGTTCCCTTTTATGTTTTTTGTCAAATTTATTTCTAATGTTTTTGACTCCCTTTATTTTGACATATTTTTTCGCCCTTCTTTTGTTTTTTTTTGACACTTATTTGTACAATTTTTCCTCTCTTAATTTTTTTACTCCACTCTTAATGCAAAACGAACGGGTGGGTGGGTGGGGCTAAATTTAACTTTTCCTTACTGAGTCTTTTACAAGAAAGCAATAGCCCCGCCCACCCACCCCCTCTCCATTCTGGTCACCACTCTTAATGCTGTGACATTATTATTTCATCAGAATCTTAGGCAAATCCATTAAACCGTTGGTGAGAAAATAGATCAGTTGTTAAACAAAGTATCTAGAAAATATTAAAAAATATTACTGAGGCTCCTCCCACTCGCACAAGCTCCACCTTAATAAATAATTTCATTGGCCTGGAAATGAGAGGCTGTTTGCAACTACATCTCAGTCTTATAAGTTTAACTTTTTCCTTCAGAGTATTTTATAAGCAAGACGTAGCCCCGCCCACCTCCTCTCTCTTCATTCTAGTGACTGCACTTAATATTGTTCAGTTATGTCCTAGCTCCACCCGATCAATCAATCGATCTTATCTTGGTAGATACTAGCCCCACCCACCCACCCATTATTTTCTTATAGGGTCCGTGATTTGCCAAAATCAGTTTTATCTTACCAAATACTAGCCCCGCCCACTCGCGCTGTTTTCATTCTAACGATTCTATTTGTGTTCAGTATAAGATCCGCCTCTCATTCCGACCAGATAAAATAAATCAATAAAACATAAAGCGTTTGGGTGGGCGGGGCTAAGTATTTTTTTCTGACGAATGGGAGTGGAAACTAAGAGAATCTAGCGAAAAACGCTAATCCTAACCAGTTTTTATAGTAAAAAAGTCATTTCTTGTTTAAAAAAAATCTATTTCTTATTTCAGAAGAAAAAAAGAGAACGGACGGGTGGGTGGGTGGGGCTAAGTTTAACTTTTCCTTACCGAGTTTTTTTTCGACGATTTTCGAAATTTAACTAAACACATTTTTTGTAGTTTTTCCAGAATCGCCCATTGAAATATCGTGGTTTTCAAAAATTTCAAAAAACACACTATATTTTTGAAATCAGCACGTCAAGATATATAACCCTGAATTTTTCAGAATCTTTAGACGACTTTTTCAAAAAAGCAAATTTCGAGCGATTTCGACGATTCATAGGTTATACTGTAATTTTGAATGGAGAAATAATTTTTTTGGTTTCGAATCGTCTAATTCTACAGATACAATCAAACAACACCTAAAACCATCTTATTTATTTTGTCTTTATCTTAAGTCAAAAGAACATTTAAAGCCGTCACGTTATTTTTTTGTTGCCTTTTTTCTCATTTTTTTTACTCTCCTTATTCTAGTTCCAATTTTTGGCGACTCTGGTATCATTTTCTATTACATTTTTTGGTGGCCTTTTTGTCACGTTTTTTCTTTTTTCACCTTTTTCGTCTCTTTCTTGAAATGAAGAAATTTAATTCCCTCTATTTTGGATTCATTTTGTCGTCTTGTTTTTGTGGATTTTTTTGTCGCTTTTTTCGGTCCATTTTTTGCCCTCTTTTTTGTCTCTTCTGTCTTTGGTTTTGGTCTCTTTTAGATCCTTTATTTTTGATCACCTACTTTTTTTCTCACTTTCTTTGTTTTAATATCAATTTTTGGTAACCCTTTTTTGTCGTTTTATTTTTACTTTCTTCGTTACATTTTTTATGCGGTCTTTTTTCTGTCCTTTTCTTTTTCTCTTTTCTCTTTTCAGTATCCGTTTTTTAGTCATTTTTCTTTTCACTTATTTACCAACTTTTTATTCGCATTTTTTACTATTTTTTGTTGCTTGTTTCTCGTCTTTTTGACATTTTTTTATATCTTTTCTATAGCTTTCTTTGTCACTTTTTTGGCTCCTTTTATTTTAGTACTATTTTTAATAGACTTTTTGTCGCCCTTCTTTTCGGGTTTTTTGTCCCTTTTTATGGAATTTTTCTCTTGCATTGTCCTTTATAGCCACCTTTCATGTCTTCTTTTTTATTGTATTTTTTGTAGCCCGTTTTGCATTTTTTTTTCTGTGGCATTTTTATAGTCTTTCGTCTTTTTTTGTTTTTCTTTGAGTAACTATTTTTTTTTGACGTTTTAGTCTCCCTTTTTTGTTGTACTCTACTTTCCTGTTCTTTTGACCCTTTTTTTGTTCCTATTTTTTTTTTAGTTTTTTTGGGGCCTTTTTGATCACCTTTGTTTTCTTACGTTTTTTTGACTCTTTATTTACACTCCTTTTTTGGCATATTTTTTTCTTCTTTTGTGCTTTTTTGTCGCCTCTTCACCGTTGTTTGTTCAATTTATTTATGTCTTATTTTTATCACGTTTTTTTGTCGTATTTTATTTGATGGTCTTTTCTTTTGTCGTCTTTTTTTTCGGTTTTTTTGTGTTTTTTTTATCGAGTTTTTCCTACTTTTATTTTTTTATCATTTTTAATGGTATATTTGTTGCTTTTCAAATTTTTTTATATTGTTTTGACACCTTTAATTTTGCTTCTTTTTTGTTGCAGTTTTTCGTTTTTATCCACTTTTTGACATCTTTTGTTACCTTTTTGTACCATTTCTTTCGTTTTTTTACTCTTTTTGTTTTAATCTAATTTTTTACTTTTTTTAGTGCAATTTTTTGTACCACTTTTTTCTTTTCTTTTTGTTCCCTTTTATGTCACATTTTTTTCCCGTTTTTTTTTGTCATTCTATAGCCTTTTTTTGTCCCTATTTTCCCTCCTATTTTTGACTCTTTTTATTTTAGTTTCGTTTGTTTTAACCCTTATATTCAATTGAATTTTTTGGTCTTTTTTGATTCCTTATTTTTGATCAACTTCTTCCTCACTTCTGTTTTTTGGTTTCAATTTTTGGTAACAATTTTTGTCATCTTATCTTCTCCTTCTTTGTTATTTTGTGTTGCTTTTTTTGTCTCATTTTTGCCTCCCTTTAGTTTGGTCTGTTTTTTTTTTCGTTTTTTGTCGCTTCTTGAAGTATTTTTTGCCACTTTTATTATCTTATTTTTTGTAGTTTTTTGTGACAATTTTTTCATTTTTTATTCCTTTTCTTTTTTTTCTATTTTTTTCAGTGGCATTTTTTGTCACCTTTTTTTCGCTTTTATTGTTCTGGGGTTTTTAGAATTTTTTGTGCCTTTTCTTGTCAGTTTGTTTCTTACGTTTTTTGACTTCTTTCATTTACACTCTCTTTTGTCCGTCTTTTTCCTCCCATTTTTGAATCTTTTTATTTTAGTTTCATTTGTATTTTCTCTTATTTTCAGTGTAATTTTTGTCAAATTTTTTTCTTCTTTTTTTGCCTCTTCTGTCATCATTTTTTGTTTACTCTATTTGTCTGTTATTTTTTATCACTTTTTTTATCGTATATTATTTGGTTATCTTTTCCTTTGTTGTCTTTTTTTCGTGTTTTTTTGTTGCTTTTTTATCGACTTTTTCCTCCTTTTATTTTTGTATCATTTTTAATGGTATATTTGTCGCCTTCTTTTTTTGCATTGACCCTTTTTTGTCTATTCCTATTTTCTTTTTATTGCCTTTTTAGGTATTTTTTCACTTTTTTTTAAGTGACATTATTGTCAGCTTTTCTCGTTTTTTCTGTTGCCTTTTATGACTTTTGCCAAATTTTTTTATAATGATTTCACACCTATAATTTTGCTTGTTTTTTGTCGCATTTTTTTCGTTTTTATCCACTTTTTGAAATCTTGTTTCCTTCGTTGTCTTCTTTTTGTTACCTTTTTGTACCATTTATTTCTTATTTTTCCTCCTTCTATTTTAATCTAATTTTTTGCTTATTTTAAGTGCAATTTTTTGTACCACTTTTTTTCTTCTTTTTTGTTCCCTTTTATGTCACCTTTTTGCCCACTTTTTTTGTCATTTTTTTGACTTTTTTTGTCCCTATTTTTCCTCCAATTTTTCACTCTTTTTATTTTAGTTTCATTTGTTTTAACCCAATTAATTAAATTCAATTGAATTTTTTGTTTTTTTTATCCCTTATTTTTGATCAACTTCTTCCTCACTTCTGTTTTTTGGTCTCAATTTTTGATAACAATTTTTATCTTCGTTATTTTGTGTTGTCTTTTTGTCTCATTTTTGACTCCCTTTAGTTTGGTTTGGTTTTTTCGGGTTTTTTGTCGTTTTTTGAAATATTTTTTTGCCACTTTTCTTATCTTATTTTCTGTAGTTTTTTTTTGTGACTATTTTTTTCATTTTTTATTCCTTTTATATTTTTTTTCCTTGTTTTTTCAGTGGTATTTTTTGTTACCTTTTTTTCACCGCCCACCTCCCCCCACTTAATATTGTTCAGTCACGTCGTAGCAAGCAGTAGCTCCACCCACCCGCCCCGTATTTTCTTAGAGGGTGTTATTTAAATCGATCTTATCTTGGTAGGTACTAGCCCCACCCACCCACCCATTATTTTCTTAGAGGGTTTGTGATTTGCCAAAATCAGTTTTATCTGAGCAAATACTAGCCCCGCCCACTCGGACTGTTTTCATTCTAACGATTCTATTTGTGTTTAGTATAAGATCCACCTCTCATTCCGACCAATAAAATAAATCACTAAAACACAAGGCGGGGTGGGTGGGCGGAGCTAAGTATATTCTTCTGTGGAATGGGAGTGGAAACTAATGGAATCTGGGATGCGAAAAACGTAAAAAAGTAATTTCTTGTATGAAAAATGTATTTCTTATTTCAGAAGAAAAAAAAAGAGAACGGACGGGTGGGTGGGCGGGGCTAAGTATAACTTTTCTTTACTGAGTGTTTTTTTGACGATTTTCGAAATTTAACCAAACACATTTTCTTTTTCTTCGATAACTCTGTTTTTCCAGAATCTCCCTTTGAATTATCAATTTTTAAAAATTTCAAAAAATTCGAATTTCACACGGAATATTCCGAAAATATTACTCCGCTACCATAAACACGCTATATTTTTGGAATCAGCACGTCAAGATATATAACCCTGAATTTTTTCAGAATTTTTAGACACCCATCTTATTTATGTTGTCTCTATCTTAAGTCAAAAGAACATTTGAAGCCGTCACGTGGTCTCAAAATAAGCTTAGCCCCTAGCTTAATATCGTCGACCGTTTTATACTCAGTACGAAATTTAAATTTTCTGATAAGAATGGCAATTATGGTTTTCGTCGACATTATTCCGTACTTTCGACCTATGCAATTCATAGGTCCTGCAGAAAACGGCATGTAGGTAAAAGGATGTCGGTTGGTACTTCTCTCTGGTGAAAACCTATCGGGGTCGAATTTGAGAGGGTCCGGCCAGTATTCGGTACTTCGATGGACAGGGAGTACCGCCAGCATAGCCACCGAACCCTTTGGAAGCGTTATATCGTCTGAAAAAACAGTTTAGTACTGAGTGGTTTAGGCTCACGGTACCACCATCAAGAGGCAAATCGTCTAGTACTAGTCGTTCCAAACAAGGACTCGGGGGGAACAACCTGAGGGTTTCCTTGAGTACCAGTTCTGTGTACTTAAGAGAAGGTAAATCCTGATAATCCGGAGTTCTTTCAGGACCTAGAACGGTGAGAACTTCTTCATAGACGCGATTTTGAACATCTGGATGCATGCCCAACATGGTAATGGTAAAACAAGAAAGGAGAGCGGTGGTGTCGAAAGACTACGACAGCAAGTGAGAAGAGGAAGATTCTAGAACTGTATTTACCCCAATTACGAAAGTTTTGACTTCGTCTAGAATCTCCTCTGTTGTTATTTTGGTACCACTGCTAGACAAATCGAGCAAAAAATCCAGCAGAACCACAAACTCAGATTTGACAACCTTGCCCTTCTTTCCGATAATTTCCTCCAGATAACGTTGGTACTTCTTCAAAAGTAGCTGGTTTTCTTTGTGCAACTTCGTCCACTTAAAAATAAAATCGTACTGGTACCAAAAATTAAAAAGTCGAAGGAACATTATCTCCAGGAGTCTGTCTGTCCACCTTCCTAGTTCCGATTCTCCTTGTTGTACATTGAGCTGGACACCCAACATGGTTTCTGAAACGACCCAAGTACTCACTCATTTCTTACACTGATTGTTAAGTGGTACCAAAAGATATATCCAACGTACAATTTCTGACTATTTCAAATATATCCACGTTTTTTTGACCGAGGTACTTTTCCAACTGTTCACCCAAAGTAATGGACTGTCTCCCGAAAACTTCGACAAACCTGTTGATAATTTTGTCACTGAAAAAGGGGTGTATGATTTTGCGATGACGTTTCCATACAGGTACTACAAATAAAACCGTTACTACCCAAAAAATAAATCTATTTCATACTTGGAGCGGTGAGAAGTCCCTGCCCCAAGAAATCGGTAACTTTTCGGTCGAAGTATAATCTAGCGGTGGTACTGGGACTCATGAAACACTTGGCCAGATATTCAGGTTTGACGATACCACAGACAAGGGTTGGACCCATCCACGCTTTGGAAATGTCCTTACAAGCATCCAAGTATCTTAAAATTTTATCATGGGTTTCTGAAAGTGGGTACTACAGTTACAGTAGGGACAAAAATGCGTAGTGGTGGTACCGTCAGAGTCGCCTGTAAATTGGAAAAGGTTACCAACGATGGGCCATCCTCGTGAACCCGGGATTTTACTAGCGTGGTGGTAAAGGTGGCGTCGCTTCCACTGGTAGTGTAGAAACCAAAATACAAGTACCACTACGACCAAAAATTTTTTTACTTCGTATTTTTTCAACTCATACTTACATAATAGTGTGAAAAGCATATTTTCAGTGTGAAACGTTTTGGCGTCGTTCGATTCTTTTATCGGTACTACCTCAAGGACCAACAATATAAACACCTTAATTACATTTTTTGTGAAAACAAATTTGATTGTTCTCTAATTTAGGAACAATGGGAATTTTCTGTGAAACAAAATACTGTAGAGAAAAATATTTTGCTCAAACAATTGAAAACAGAACAACCTTGAAAACCGTACCAGAAAAGTAAAAATCGTCCGCTGAACTTGAAAATGTTGCGATTCTTATTAGAATTGAGTGCAGAACGTTGTATAAAATGAAGATAAAAGCTCTATTTGAAACCTTGAGTCGGTTCAAAGGTACTTTGGCAGCTCATTTAAGTACCTTGTATCTATAACCTTAAAAGGTTTTATGTCCATCAGACATCAAAATAGTAATTACTTTGTAACAATAATTATAGCTAAGTGGTACTAAGTAACCAAGAATATTTATTTATGACGAAATTGGTACTATTTTGACTAGTCGTTCCGACACTGTGTTCACAGCCGGTTCTATTAATTTCGTCACCAGCGTAGTACCACAAATAACATGTTCCTGTGGGTACTTCTACCCATAATGGTACTAGCTTGGTGCTGGAACAGACGCCACCTGTATCGTCACTCCCGGAAAGTACCCGGACCCCACGGACTCCCTCTACTTGGCAACCTCTTCGACTTTACTGGCACCCCAAGCGGTAAACCCTCACCACCCCTCGTTTCGTCCGACTAACCTCCATCTTCAGAAATCTACGACAAAACCACAAAGTACTTCGAAACTTACCCCAACCTGGCTAAATTATGGTTCGGACCGAAACTCGTCTACGGAGTAAGCAAACCCGAGTACCTCGAAAAAATCTTCTCCAGCCTTACCTCCTTTGACAAGGAAGAGTCGTACCGGAAGTTCGGCGGCGCTTTTCTCGGTGACGGACTCCTAACAGCTTCCTGTACGCAACCCATTTTTCCTATCATAGTACTACCAAGTCGTTTTTAGTACCCACCTGGAAGCGCCACCGCAAAATCATCCTGCCAATTTTCAACCAAAAAGTACTAAACAGCTTCGTCGAAATTTTTGCCAAACACTTCCAATTTTTGAACGACGAATTGGAAAAACACGTCGGACGGGAATTCGATTTGTACGAGTTGTTGACTAGATGCACCCTGGATATCACATGTGGTACGACCTCACAAGTACCAATCACGCCGTAATTTTGTGATTTTAGAAACGATCATGGGGGTGGAAGTTGGTACCCAGAAAGGGGAGTTGTTTTTGTTCAAGCGGCTTGACAGAATTTTGGAGATTACGTACTTACGACAGTACTCAATCTGGTACCACTTGGACTTTATGTTCAAGTGGACGCAACTGCACAAAGAGAACGTACGACTCATTGGGGAGCTTAACCGCTTCACTGAAGAACTGATCAATAAGAAGCGGGTACAAGTCAGTACCGGTTGTACCCCCAACCGGAAATCTTTGCTCGATTTGTTGTTGGAGTCGTCTGCCGAAAAACTCACCACCGACGAAATTAAAGACGAAATGCAGACTTTCATTATAGCGGTGAGTATGAGTACTGTCAGTACTTTGGGGTTAAATTTGTCTACAGGCGTCGGACACCACAGCCGTCACTGCTTGCTTCATTCTAGTGATGTTAGGGATGCACCCACAGATCCAAAACCGGGTTCTGGAAGAAACTAATCTGATTCTAGGTCCCGATGGACAATTGGAGTACCAAGATATCCCGCGTTTTGAGTACACCAGTCGCGTGATCAAAGAAACGGTACGACTTTTCCCGCCTGGTCCCTACGTAGCGAGACACATCCAAGCGGATTTACCCCTAGAAGGTGGTACCCTTTTCTAAAATTCCGCAATAACTCGCTGCTTGTAGAAAATCTGGTACTACCCAAAGGTGCGTCGGTTTTGTTGGGTCTGATTCACGTCCAGAGGAGTACCGAGTTCTGGAAGGACCCTCTGAAGTTTGACCCTGACAGGTTTTTGCCCAAAGAGGTAGAGAAAATTTATCCGCATTCGTACGTACCGTTTGCTACTGGACCCAGAACTTGCGTGGGAAAAAAGTACGCGATGATGTCATTGACAACGATGGTGGCAACAGTGGTCAGGAAGTTTAAGATCGGTACTGAGTATAAGTCGGTGGACGAGATTAAATTGAAAACTAATATGGTAATCAGGCCCCAAGATGGGTTCAAGGTTTGGCTTGAGTTGAGGAAATAGATAGTTTCTGGTACTATGTGTAGTGTGGTTTTTTTAATAAAAGTAGTACTCGTCTTTGACCTTACAAAAATTGTATTTATTGTCTACTTTCTTAACCGTGGAGGGGACTAGATAAAACCTTATTCATGTCATACATCTCAACTAGGTGTCTTCAACCGTACCACCAGTAAGTACCTTTTCTGTTGTTTTTAATATTAAACGACTTTCTTAGCAGTCTAAAATGGACATTTGGGCATGCACGTTTTTCTGGCTACCTCTAGCCACAATCGCGCTAATCTGGTACTTCCAGTACCACTGGACCCGCCGCCACCTTTACCACCACGCGGCTAAAGTGGCAGGCCCTAAAGGCTGGCCCGTCATCGGCAACATCCTCGACTTCACCGGTACCTGCGACGGTACTCACCCATCAAACTCTCGCCACCCTCACTAACTAAAAATTTCAGCCATCTACAACACCATCATCACCCATTTCGACAACTACCCTCACCTAGTCAAGGTATGGTACGGCCCCAGCCTCGTCTACGGAGTGTCCAAACCCCAATACCTCGAAGCGGTACTATCCAAAGCCCTATCCAAAATGTACTTGTACAAATACGCGGTACCCGTCTGTGGCTACGGACTCTTCACAGCTCCTGGTACGACCCACTCCCCCTTTCACCCAAATCTACTACCACGTTTCAGTACCCATCTGGAAGCGCCACCGCAAAATAATAATGCCGGCGTTCAACCAGAAAATCCTCGATGGGTTCGTGGAGGTGTTCGGACGTCAGAGTACCACCATGTGCACCCAGTTGGAAAAGCACGTCGACGAAAAATTCGATTTGTTCGACGTTGTCAGCAAATGTAGTTTGGATATTCTTTGCGGTACCACCTATTACTATCAATCAACCAAGATTAGTTTTGTTTTGTAGAAACGGCCATGGGTGTGACCATTAACGCGCAAAATGGCGACTCAGATTTCGGTCATTGTGTCGACAGGTGAGTACCACTATACTATAATCGTACCAGATCTCGCTTGACCTTTGACAGGTTGTTAGAAATCGTGTTCTTGCGAATGTTCGTAATATGGTACCACTTTGACTGCATTTTCAAGTGGACTGGTTTATATCAAGATGAACGACGTCTGACGCAACAATTTAACGACTTCACGGAGAAGATAATCAAGGAGAGAATGGAGAGGTTTGAGGGAAACGTCGGTACTTTCAAGCGTAAAGCGTTTTTAGATTTGTTGATTGGGGAAGATAAATTGACGATTGAGGAAATTAGGGACGAAGTGAAGACGTTTATGATTGCGGTACTACTTAAGGTGGTGTGGGTGTTTGATGGTGGGGGTGATTTTTAGGGTTCGGACACCACAGCTACCACTAACTGTTTTATTTTTGCGATGTTGGGAATGCACCCTTTGGTACAGGATCGTGTGTTGGAGGAAGTTGTAGGGGTTGTAGGTACTGATCGGGAGGTACTGCCTGAGGATTTGCCGCACTTGAAATACACGGAGAGGGTTATTAAAGAAACACTAAGATTATTTCCGAATGGACCCTACATTGTACGAGATATCGAAGACGATTTAGTTCTAGACGGTACTACAATACTAAAACTAGTTAATTCAGAAATTCTATGTTTTATTTTCTGTTTGTAGACGATTTAATCCTTCCTAAAGGGTCGTCAGCAATTTTGGGCATTATTCACGTCCAACGAAACAGCAAGTACTGGCCGGACCCCCTCAAATTCGACCCTGATAGGTTCCTACCAGAAGAAGTAGCAAAAAGACACCCTTTCGCCTACTTGCCTTTTTCCGGGGGTCCACGAAACTGCGTCGGACCCAGATACGCAATGATGACTATGAAGGCAGTACTTGCCACTGTAATCAGACGATTCGAATTTTCCACAAGCTATAAAACCGTCGAAGACATCAAACTGAAGACCAATTTGGTCTTGAGACCAGTAGACGGCTTCAAGGTTTTTGTTACAACGAGAAACTAAATCGGTACTACTTTGTATGGTTTGGTATATAATAAAACTCGCCTATAAGTACTTTCAATTTTATTTCCTCCTTCTTTGGTGCTCGAAAACTGACAACAACAACACGTAAAGTTACACTGGGGTTTGAAACACTCGATGTCGAAATCGGGACATTGATAGTCCTGAAATTGTATTTTTCGGGGCTTCAAGTACTCAGAGGTGTATTCTTACATAGAGGTTATGTTTTCTGTGGCAGCAGCGGCAGAAGGATGGAAAAGGGGATTTTTTCATGGCGCAGGTTGTGCATACGTGGCAGAAGTCTTTTTGGTTTTGGGGGATGATGCAGCAGTGGATTTTGGTGGGGGAGTATGGGCAGAAAATGCCGTACTGGACGCAGTACCGGATCCACAGTACTGATAAAATCGAGTTAATATTAGGGGTGGTGTTGATGGATTGGGACATACTTACGTAAGATGAAGAGTACTATGTAGAGGAAAACGACGAAAAGTACCAGATCGGTAAGGTGAATGTGGTACAGAAGTGAACTTGTCATTTTTTGGACATTTTGATCCGAGATGTCTAGATTGTTGGGATTTTTTGACACAGGCACTCTAGTTTGAGGTACCCAAATGGCAAAAATGTAAAAATAAAATAACCAAAAATAATATATAATAAAATAGAAAGCGGCCCCGCCCACCCACCCAGTTTTCTTTCTGATCACTCATTTCATTGGTCAAAAAGTGTAAAGATAATTGGCGGAATCTAGACAAAAAGGTAAAACTCCACCCAGCCCCGTTTTCGAATTTCATTGGCTTATTTAATATTTAATAAATTGAAAATTCGATTACTGAAAAACCAAAAACTCGAAAAATGGAAAATTAAATATTCAAAAAATTGAAAAGTAAAAAAATTAAAAAGTCTAAATTCAAAAATTTAAAAATTGAGAAATCGAAAATTTGAAAATTCAAAACTGGAAAAATCAGAACACAGGAAGATTGAAAATTCGAATACTCGAGTATCGAAAATCGAAAACTAAAAAGTTGGAAAATCGAAAAACCGAAAAGTGGAAATTTTGAAAATAGCGAAGTAAAAAAAATTGAAAATTCGAAAATCTAAAAATTAGAACATGAACACAGAAAAAATAAACACTTGAAAAATCGAAAAATCTAAGTAACAAAATATAGAAAAAACGAAATATTGAAAAGTTGAATAATGGAAAATTCCAAAGTCGAAAAATCAAAAAGTCGAAAGAGGGCAAAATTGAAAAATCGGGAAATTGTTATTACAAAAATTGAAAATTGGAACATCGAAAATTCCAAATTTCAAAAACTGAAAAGTTGAAATATCGAAAAATCAAAAGTCGAAAAGTCAAAGATCTGAAAAATAGAGAAATAAAAAACTTGAAAGATTGAAAAACTGAAATATGGAAATTGTTGAAAGTCGAAAAGCAAAAAAATTCGAAATTAAAATAAAAAATTCGAAAATCCAGATTTTGAAAAATCGAAAAATCCGAGAAACGAACTACAGAAAAAACGAAATATTGAAAAAAAAGAGGAAATTGAGGAAACGAAAAGTAAAAAAAAAGTAAAAATAGAAAACTTAAGAATGGAAAAATTGAAAATTCGAGAAACCGAAAAGTCAAAAGTTCAGGCTAAAAACTGAAGAATGTAAAAACTGAACAATCGAAAAATTGAAAAATGGAAAAATTGAAAATTTGAACATTGAAAAATCGAAAAGTGAAACAATTAAAAAGTTTAAAAACTGAAGACCGAAAAAATTAAAAGTCAAAAACTGAAAATATTGAAATATTGAAGAATGGAAAATTTGAGAGTGAAACAATGAAAAATCGAGGAATTGAACAGAAAACAAATGGAAAATTCGAAAAGCTGAAAAATGGAAAATTCAAAAATGGAGAAACTGTGGTTAAAGAAACTGAAAATTAGACTATCAAAAAATCGAAAATTCCAAATTTAATTTCGAAAATTGAAAATTAGAAAAATCGAAAAATCGAAGTATCGAAAAATCGAAAGTTAAAATATCGAGAAATGAAAAGACGAAAAGAAAAATTTAAAAAATCGAAAAACTGCAAAATGGAAAAATTGAAAATTCGGGAAACTGAAAACTAAAAAGTTTAAGACTAAAAACTGAAAAAATTGAAAACTCGAAAATTCGAAAAATCGAAAAAAAATGGAAAATCGATAAACTGAAGAATGAAAAAATTGAAAATCGAGAAAGAAACAAATTGAAAATTCCAATCAAAAAGTCGAAAAACGGAAAAATTGAAAAATTATAACATCACAAAATCGAAAATTCCATATTTTGAAAAATCGAAAAATCCGAGAGACGAACTATTGCAAAAACGAAATATTGAAAAAAAAAGAGGAAACATTGAAAAATCAAAAACTCAAGAAAGGAAAACATGAAAATTCGAAAAATCAAAAACTGAAAAACCGAAAAACTAGAAAAATTGACAATCGAAAACTCGATAAATCAAAATATGGAAGAGTAAAAAAGTTGAAAATCAAAAATCGGAAAACCAAAAATTCGAAATTCTAAAAATTAGAAATTGAAAAACCAAAAAATCTAAAATTGGAAATCGAGATTTTGAAAAATCGAAAAATCCTATAAACAACATAGAAAAAACAAAATATTTAAAGTCGAATAGTCAAAAATTCTGAAATGGAAAAATCGAAAAGTCGAAAAACGACAAAATTGAAAAATTCAGAAAATGTTATTACAAAAATTTAAAATTGAGGAAACGAAAAGTAAAAAAAATGTAAAAATAAAAAACTTAGAATGGAAAAATTGAAAATTCCAGAAACCGAAAGGTCAAAAGTTTGAGGCTAAAAACTGAAGAATGTAAATACTGAACAATCGAAAAATTGAAAAATGGAAAAATTGAAAATTTGAACATTGAAAAATCGAAAAGTGAAACAATTAAAAAGTTTAAAAACTGAAGACTGAAAAAACTAAAAAATCGAAAATTAAAAGTCAAAAACTGAAAATATTGAAAAATGGAAAATTTGATAGTTCGGAGGAGTGAAACAATGAAAAATCGAGGAATTGAACAAAAAACAAATTGAAAATTCGAAAAGCCGAAAAATGGAAAAATTCAAAAATCGAGAAATTGTGGTTAAAGAAACTGAAAATCAGACTATCAAAAAATCGAAAATTCCAAATTTAATTTCAAAAATTGAAAATTAGAAAAATCGAAAGTTGAAAAATCGAGTAATAAAAAGGCGAAAAGAAAAAATTGAAAAATCGAAAAACTGCAAAATGGAAAAACTGAAAATTCGGGAAACTGAAAACTAAAAAGTTTAAGACTAAAAACTGAAAATTGAGAAATGGAAATAGTGGTCGAATCTTTAAAAAAACTTCAAAGTTTGTCGAGTGGCCGAACCTATGCTTATAAAACATCAAAATGGCCCCACCCACCCGCTTTTCCTCCTAATCACTCATTTTATTGGACAAAAAGTGGCATTTACATTGATACACAGTGAAATGTAGACAAAAAGGAAAAACAAACCTCACCCACCTTTGCTTTTGAATTTCATTGGTTTTTTTGATTAGATAAAAATTAAATTTTATTTTGTCAAGCGGTCGAATCTGCGCTTAAAAAAAAACAAAGTGGCCCCGCCCACCCACCCGGTTTTCTTTCTGATCACTCATTTCATTGGTCAAAAAGTGTAAAGACAATTGGCGGAATCTAGACAAAAAGGTAAAACTCCACCCAGCTCCGTTTTCGAATTTCATTGGCTTATTTTATCTCCTCTGAGATGAAAATTTTATTTTAGTTCGTCAAATGGCCCAATCTAATAAATTGAAAGTGGTCGAATCTGCGCTTAAACATATTCAAAGTTATGCAACCAACATTACGAAATTTATTCAAAGAGTAAAAACACTATCTGTTGAATTAAGTTGATACCAAGTAAATCTCCACCCTGTATTTTCTTGGAGGGTCTTATTTACCAAAATTAGTCCTACTTTAACAGGTACTAGCCCCGCCCACTCACTCTTCATTCCAGTGACTATTCTTAATATTGTTCAGTCATTTATTAAAATCAGTTTTATGTACAATAAAATGAGTAATCAGAAAGAAAATCGGGTGGGTGGGCGGGGCCACTTTGATTTTTTTAAGAATAGATTGGACCATTTGATAAACTAAAATAAAATAAAAAATAAGCCAATGAAGTTCAAAAACGGAGCGGGTTGGAGTTAGTTTTACCTTTTTGTCTACATTCCATTAGTTGTCCAGTCAGAAAATACACTTCTTGTCCAATAAAATGAGTGATCAGAAAGAAAACCGGGTGGGTGGGTGGGGCCACTTTGAATATTTTTAATTACATTCGACCACTTGCTAAAATAGAAATCAATTTTCATCTCCCAATAAATAAAATAAGCCAATGAAATGCAAGGTAAATAAGCCAATGAAATGCATGGTTGGTCATGAAAATCTATAATAAGTTTTCTGCTAGTCGGTAAAGAACAATCAACTTTTTCCTCTTCTTAATATTCATACTTTTCACAGCAGAAGACTGAAAATATGTTTAAAATGGTCAATTTTGTCTCCCATACTTGTCTACAAATTGACCACTTTAAACAAGTTTTCACTTTCTTGTCGTGAATAGAAAACTATGTACATATAAGAAAAAAAAAGGTAAAATACTAAGCCCGCCCACCCACCCTCGTCTCAATTGTAATGAATTTTCTTATTCATTGAGGTTTCACATTCTAAAAAAAAAAAATTGGCACCCCGAGGAGGTTTTAAATTAAAAAAAAAATTGGTTGAAAGTTATTTCGACAGAACTTCCCTTGCCCCTAAAGTACAGTCGAACAAATACAACTTCGAAAAATTATTAACTTTAACTTTGAGAATTTTTTTTTTCATTTTTATACATAGTCAGTTTTTGCTTTTTTTTTTTGATAACGTCAATTTAGTATTAATAGACTCCTTAGAGTTTTGGCACCCTTGGAATCTTTGAAATCTTTGAAATTTAGAGAAGACTTTGAACTTTCACAGTACACATTTGGGATATTTTCACAAATTCAGTAAAATG